TCTAAGTACAACTCGCTGTCTTGTCGTGCCTCCATGTTGTTGCAGGGGCGGTGATTGGTGCGGTCATCACCCTCGCCGGTTCATACTTGGTCGGAATACAGCGGAAATACGACGAGGAGATACTGAGCGACTTGATCGAAGGCGACCTCGTAGCAGCATGGTCGAACCCAACGAGGGAAATGCACAAAGCCGCGGAAACGATCCAGTGCTGCTTCAGGTGCAAAAAACGTGGCAAGCGTACCGCGATAGTGCACTGCCTCCTACAGTCGACAGACACGTTTGTGCGCCTTGTTAGCGTAGAACTCAGAGCATGTTGCATTCTTGTGCCGCCATTAGTACATGTGAATGGGTAAACCAGTCAAACTTCTGGAACTTCGGAATCCGATCATTCCGAGGTCGACTTGAAGGTTGAAGAGCTCAAGTACGGCCGGGTCTCCACGAAGTTAAGGTCCTTCACGAGGTTCCGTTACACGTGCGAGATCATTCCATGCGCCACAGTCATATGCACCGTTATCGATGCTGTGCGATTTTTGTGCCCGACAGGGTGCACCATGCGCTCGACAGGGCGACCAGGGCGCTGGAGTTTCGCACGTGGTTACATGATTGTCGGGGGCAACTACGTGGGATGTATTTCCTTGCACGGGGGAACGTGGCTGTTCGTAAACCCGTGGCTTCTGGGGAAAAGATGTTGTATTGATGAGACCTTGGTTCGGGAGAACAGGTCAAAACGTGGAGTAAGCGTGGTGGGCGTGCACAGCACCCCAGCAGCATCACGCTAAGTCATCCACAACACACGGAGCACAGGCCAATTTCCGATCCGACATACCGAGAACATTCTAGGCATTCCAGGAACATTCCTACAATACGACAGTCCCGTAAGGAACATTCCTACAAATCGACAGTCTCGTCATTTGAACTGCCCTATCAGTGTTCTCACGTTACTCTGTCGACACACAGCAGCAACATCACGAACAGCAGTGGCTACGGCAATCCTGTGTCTGACCTACACCAACATGGTGTTCGCTGCCAAGTTCGATCGGTACGTTCCTTTCTCCGGAACGTGGCACTTCGTGCCGCCACGTCAGCCATGTCTGCGCAAGTCTTTTCCTCGAAACATTGCGCATTGCCAAGGGTATGGTTTGCTCCCTGGCACGAAAACATGCCTGCGCTTCGTGTGGGTTTTCGTGTCTTCAGTTCACCGAATACGTACACAGAAGTCTTGACTTACATTGATTGTTGTTTATAGACAAAAGCATGGGTACAGGAAAACATCCGTTCATTGTACGCAGTTTGGAGGGGGTCGCTTCGTTACCCTAAAGGTTCTCAATATGCACATGCTTTCGCGTTGGATGGGCCGCACTTGCAACCGTCGCCGTCGCAGGTCTACCTCGACCGATTGGCTGACCACCTGCGTACTGGCTCTTCTGGTCGAAGCCCTTATCCAACAATCGGCTGCTCTGCTGTCAACGATGGCGCTCGGTGACTTTGTCGAAGAAGGGGCTAACCTTCTCCTAGATCTGATATCTAGAATAGTGGATACGTGCTGCGCTGAGGAATTGTTATGTTGTCTTGCTCAGGGACGAACAGGAGAGATTGTGCGAGTATAATCTGTATCGAGCATTATCGCTAGAACCCTCCCGATCATGCCCCTGATGCGATACGTTATTGTTGATCATTGTTTTCGTTTTAGACTAGACTTTCCACTGTTGCACAAAAAAAAACTTTCTTGCACACCTATAGTCTATACCGAGTAGTCCATTTTCTTCATTGAGATGTTCTCGGGGGGTTGAGGGGCTGGTATTCTGATTCTATTTCCTATAAAAAAGCATAGGACCCGCGCGGGGGGGACCCTGTTATTATCCCGTTACCTATTTCCGAAGCCATGATCACATGAAACGGGTGCGTAGCACATCGAGAGAATACCTAACCCACTCAAGGTATGCGTGAAACGTCGTCCCTCGTATCACACGATGTGTCCCTCCATAAGCGGGCTGTGTGAAATGTACTCGAAGCCCCAAAATAGGTGAAAAGCCGATGATGTTTTCTCGGCCCTGGGGGAGGGGGGGGGTACCTACTAGTAGTTGTGGGGAACTTTTTACGTGCACCCTTGGACTATCTGTTTACTTTGTTCTGACCCGCCGGGATGAGCCTGGCCGGCGAGGTCCTAGCATGTAGTACTGTAATTCGGCACACAGGGGCGGACATGCAATTTAATCTTTTGTCCGAGTGGAAGAAGGGCTTGCATCGCAGGTGTGATCTTAGAACCACCACGTTCTTGTGTGTACGTGTTGGGAACGGCTTGGCTGGTGTAACCCTCGTGGCGAATACACCCTGGCGTATGACAGCAGCAGCGACTCTTCTTTTTCTGGTTCGGTCTTGACTGGTGACCTTTGGCCATTGTGTGTATTGCTTGACATCGCCGGCCGAATGGGAGCGGTAGCCTCTCTCAATCTCTCCTTGCTCTGGAAATTCCCTTCCTATATCAATGTCTAACAATTATTCTGGGTTCGTTTTTCTGTTAACATTTCATTGTGATCTGGTACCCTTATTTGATGATTCCTAGTCTATCTACAATACAGTCGGCAGAGTGTACCGTTTTGGGGTGGTTAGCCTATGACCGCGGATGGCGTCCGCGTCAGTTAGATAGGGACGGGTATTTATGTTACTGAGAAGAGACCGGAAAGGTCTTTATGTCAAGACACCACCAACAACTGCAGCTTAAGAGCGTCGACTTGCGGATGGTCCACGTGGTATCAATAATAGTGCACTAGACATAGGATTCTCTTGTTCGGGGAATTGATAGAGGTCAGGAAACGACTTGTCTTGTCAAACGCAAACAATTGCAGCAAGAACGGCAAGAAATAGTAAAACACCACTCTTCACCCATACCCGGGAAGGAGGTCCCTAAGCTCCTGTGTGTGACAGACCACACGAAGAAGAACCGTATCTTGGAGAGAGGGGCGTGCCTGCCCTAGGCATGCCGCTCGATGAGACAAGGTTCGGTAGTGAGAATAGCACGCTATTCCCTAGGGGTACGACACAGTTGAGTTGCACGTACGTCCGGGACAACACACGGAGACGGACCAAACAAAACATGTGCCTTGTAGTTGGAAAACTGCCGAGAAGAGCGAACGATAGGAAAATGCTTCAAGTGGGGTCGATGAGAGGCAGTGACAGGAATCTCGTGCCGGGAGGGAAGCGCAAGCTGTACGCATACAGACCCAGCTCCCAGGATTATCGCCAGGAACTGCATCTGGCAAGATAGTACAAGCTTCCCGGGTTTAGAAAAGTCCATCCGTGGAATTTAATCGCGACCGGTTTGGCTAAAAATAACACGACGCACCCGTACAAACCTCGCTCCTAGATTAGATCAAATCCATCCATGGAGTTAGGAAATAGACCCGCCTGACTCTGAACGCGACTTGCAGCTACAAAACTTCTACGCAGAGCACGAAAACAAGCCACCTCATCTATGCCAGTCGTAGCACCGGCCACGCCACCACCTCAATCACAAAACTAGAAAAAAACACCCCACAAGAAAGGCAAACGGATCACGGGTGCTGACTTACGCCCTTGAGGTCGCATGTGCACCTTGCGAGCGAAGCTGAACGGCTGTCTACCAAATTTTCCTTTGAGTGCACCTTTTCGAACGCCTTCGTATAGAAGAGTTCGCAATCGACTACCATCGGAGGAAAAATACGCGTTCGAACGGCGCCGATGACGGAGCACACGCGCATGGGGGATGTTGGTCCATAACCTTGTGCTCCCGCTTTTGCCTGCCCGTCTGTCTCTTCCACTTCTGCAGCCGGGACATAGGTCGGTTCGCCTGGACCATGCCCTATCTCTCTCCACATATAGAAACAACAGAGATACACTTCAGCACCTCGTGATAACACCAATTCCAACAACACCCCCCGACGTTTTCACGCTCGCTCTGAAGCCGAAGCACGAGCGCACAAGCACAAAACCATGTTCTACCCCCAAGCTTTTCTTTGGCACCTTGTTTGACAAACGAGAAGGGCTCCACAAGCGCCATTGAAATCAGCAACCCCCCCCCCCCCCCCCCCCCCCCCCCCCCCCCCCCCCCCCCCCCCCCCCCCCCCCCNGTCCCGATTGATCACAAGGACACCACAGACGTAACGCGGGGCACAATCTACCGTGACCCGCAGGCGCGCCACCTCCTCACGCACAAGAGAGAGGGTCAAGCCCACCACCGATAGCAACACGTCAACACCTTGTGGTGATGTGTATATCTTATTCATGACTACCATTCAAAAGCTAATCCGTGCGCAAGAAAGTAAATGCAAAGCCCACGGCTTACTATTGAACACCTTTTTACGTCACGCACCGACAACAAATGGTAAACCTCACGAAACATTGTGAGGTAAGGGAATGCACCATACTACAGGAAATAAAAAAAAACAGTGTCGATTCGTATTCAATATACGCTCTACTCATCACCCCCATCAGTAACTGAGAAATGAGACCGTCCAGGGTGCTACCACTAAGCGTGCGGCGATGACTTCGCATGCAGCTTCTTGCTTCCCTCACCAGCTCACCCCCCTCCTTTAGTGTATTTCCAAAATTCGTTCGGCTCAATGACCTGATCTGTGAAGAGAGGTCAATCCCAAAACACAGCACGTATAAATACACTTCAAATAAAAATGCAAATGTACTAACCAAAAATTTGTGACAAGAATGCTGGTATGCGCTAAAGGAAGCCCGGGTCCCAAATACAAGTAAACGGACAGGACTTTTTGTGTGCTGACCGCATTGTAACAAAATCCACCCCGAACAAAGCTTAAAAATAGTGACAAAGGAGGAACGTGCCGCAAAATTCCTCTCGCACAAAAGTCGAATCCATTTTTTTCATCTGTAAATGGTCCCCGCTTCAAATCCGTTCTCAAAGGCATCGCTCATACCAGCAGATTCTAGCCTGTCCAACCACCACACTTCGGCCGCGCTTCTGGATCAATTCACGTGGCCTTGCTGCTATGGGTTGCTGGACGCATGCCCGCCGTCTGTATTGAGTGCGCGAAACTCTGCATGCTCTCTAGTCCCTTTCGTCTATTTCGATCCGAACCGACTCTATCTTTTCTCGACCGACGAGAAGCTTCCACTCTCCATCTACGTACCGCCCGCTTGCAACCACTCGCCGCTCCTGCAAAAATTGCCGGGGCAGACGGGAACGAACGCGCGGACAGACAAGGGAAGGGTCAGCAAGTTGGAATGCGCCAAGCGGCAGGGCCGACAGAGCGTAAGAAGCAAACCAGAGATACTAGGAGGTATGGCGTGTTGCACGTTCCTCGTCGATGGCGCCAGTTTGGCTTGCGCGGACAGCACGGCTTCAAGGAACATGTGCTAGCGCCTGCTTGCCAGGTGAGGAGGTGTGGAGAATTCCGCAGAATGTACGGAATAGGGCATGTTCTTAGCAAGCCAACAAGCCTCCAACCTCCACGAGCTGGGCATGCTACCTGCGGGCTGCTCTCGGTGATATCGAAATAGAAACGGGTCGGTGGTTACCATAGCATGGGCCTGAACCAGTTTCCAACCGCTTCTTCCTGTGGAATCGAACGTGACCTTGTGACCAAGATAAAACCTGTATCGGCATGATTTCATGTTGGATTGAATGGTGTTCTTCAACGTGTCCGAGGATCCCACGTGCTTTCTACATCAAGGACTTCACATCCCAGTCCATTACGGCGAGAGTTGCACACACATTGCTAGCCATCTCTGGCGATGAATTGTATGGAAATGTGCTCGTTGGCGCTTGCGAAACCCTGGCATGAACCCCGACACGCAAGCACTTTGGTCTCGATGGTCAACAATGATTCCTTCCGTCTTGTATACCTCGACACGCTTTGAGTAATTGTCAGTGGAAACGAAGAGATGGAACAGGGAGGAGAGCACCAACGCATTGTGATAGCATGCACTTCCAACACTGAAAATGCTGGGGTTCACAGGGGGGGAGTAAAGCTAACAAGGACACCACATGTTGGCAAAAGTCCTCTACGCAAAAGCGTGATCATGCTTTTGTCGCCAGGGCTCTTGTCATCTGGCTGCGTTTGAGGCTTCATTGGTCTACGGTTACCTCCAGTAGAACCACCAAGCTCATGAATACTCACAGCAATCTACACTGAAACACAGTCTCAATACTACGCTACTCACAACAAAGTTGAGGGCCGCTTCGCTTGCCACCACAGTTGGATATCGTACCGCACACAGTATGGATTCGACCTATACAACGCTCGCTCGGTCTCACATCCGATGAACTGCGATCTACGAAGTCCACGGTGTAGCTGTGCTTGGTGATGTCCTCCTGTAAGGGAAACCGGCGTTTGACGCTGGTGATGTCGACGTGAACGTCCCTCGAAAGATGAATCTGGCAGTTCTTGCACCTTCGCTCGCGAGGGCGGGTAAAGCGCGATCGATAGTCGTGGAATGGGAGACGCAGCACACGACCCGTTAGAAATCCGCTCCTTTCGCTTCGTTACATTTTTCGTGCCTGGGTTCATCACAACATCTGTTGGCCTCGGAAACGACAATCCTATAAAACAGGAGACGACTGTTGCAAGTGCAAATGTAGCGAGACAGGTTGGTGATTTTGGGAGAAATGCCTGCTAATACAGCTTGGCTGACACCGTACATTTCTGGGGACTGACTGCACCTCTTGAGGTTCCATCGGCTTAGCACGCTGACGCTAGCAACCGGAGTTACCGTCCCACTGACAGGGTCCTATGCGAGGCACGCAGAAGACAGTCAAAGGCAAAAGACAGACGAAGGGATGTGGGCAGTGCCATGTGTTCGTTCAACATTCAGTTTCGATGCAATCGGGAAGGGAGCAAGTCAAATGGCTGCATTCTCCCCAGGGGAGGTGGGAAACAGTTGTCAAGCCCAGCGGTGGAGGATTGGGAAACACAAGATAGCATCTGTCAGGCAGTGTCCATCTGGAAGGTGCTGCCGCGCTAGACCACTACGCCCATAGCACTACAACGGAAGAGTTGGCAAGTATTTCAACAAAGCGGCGCTCGTGAGGCATATACGCGGGCGAAGTCTCGGCTAGGATCGATCCTAGACACGAAGCCGCCAGCTCTCGGCGAAGGATTTGCCTACAGATTGGCTGAGTGGACAATGACGGGAGGTTTGCATGCATACCTTATGAGACACGATCACTCTGAAGGAGCCCAAGAAGCTGGCTTTGTTGATGTTGATCACGCTCAAGATGACCTCAGGCCCCGGCTTTTCGATCACTTCGCGCGGCCACTCCACCTGCGACCCATAAGGAAGGGAAAGTCGCGTGTGAAGCGTGCGTCTGATGGAAATCGATGACACTAACCGTTGCCTACGAAGGATCTCCGTGGCGCCATACACTTGGGAAAAATACTACACGCCTTCTTCCTCCAGAGATTCCTTGGGTAAGGGGATCACAGGCTGACGCACGCACAATGGATCGTAGACAGTGGTGTCAGTGCAACAGAATTAGTCCACGACGACAGTGGTGTCAGTGCAACAGAATTAGTCCACTTCTTTTCGGCAGCAACCTGTCGAACCTTGTCAAACGATCCCAAGCTGTAGTCTCTCCCGAGCTGGGACCGCAGGTCGACAACGTCACGTGATGTGACATACTCCCCTGACGGCAACTTGAACGGGTGCCTGCAGAAGGGGTGGTCATGTAGCGGCGTCACATCAGCGACGTGCGGCTGAAGCCCTAATTCTACTCATGTTTCGATACTCTTGGCACTGTCTTCATGCATCGGTAGGTTGTACCACCCAGCTTCTTGATGGCAAAAAAAGGAAAGGCGAACATTGCGTGCCGTTCCTGATACTCTCAGGACCACGGTCGGCGAAGTTGAAGCGAGGCAGACGAAAACAAAAAATCGAACGGACACTATGGTCCGACGGGACCACAAAGTACTGCTCGATTTACGGTACAATAACACCAAGGATACGATTCTTTCCAAACACGTACAGAGGGGTATCCATCGTTAGCTTGGTGGTTCCAGGGATCGCCCGCGTGCCCCCCTGCCCCGACGGGGACTGTCCGTAGGTCCCCTCCATGTCAGAGGGATCGATCTCGATGGAGCCCTCGGCAGTCTTACCCCACTTCTTTTGCCAGATCCTTTGGGAACAACGCACAGCGCAGCAGAGGGAATAGACCGAGAACTACGGATGAACGTCTCTCATCCGCCACATTCGTGCGCGAAACAAAAGGTTGTGTCTTGCCGGGAAAGCTTAAGTACAAATGTACATCCAAGTCGATGGTAACTCCAGATTCTTCAAGCACGCTCATTTCGACTGGTTAGAAAAAGAAAACCCGTGATGCGGACCAGTATCACAAAATAGGCCAATTTTGACTTTACTCGAAAGCAAGGTCCGTGCCCATGCGCCCGTACCTCCACGCACATCATTCCAACCGTGTTGTGTAGGGTGGTAATCATCCCACTTGTTGAGTCTCAAATGCAGAAAGCAAGGGACTCTCATTCACATGAAATTCAATTTAAAACACCGAACACACGCCATGTTCGCGTGTCCTTCATGCATCACAAGCGGATCGTGCCTACGGCTACATTTTAGCACGGGAGGCTACAGTCAACACAATTCAAACAGCAAACCTCGGAAATGTGGCGCCGATTGTTGCGATTTCATTATTGCGCCCACCTCAATCATAAAGAAAGGCCGTTGTTTAGCTAGTTGAACAAACGTTGTTGACAGATCCAAGGTCCACTGCTAAAACACTTGTACGGGATCTGAATTTGGATGCTGTTTCTTCGAACCGACGCAGGCTGCCGCATTACATCGGAACATATGTGATCCTGTCCCCCTTTGAACATTGTTTGCGTGCGTGACGAAGAGCTTGAACATGCATTTGTCGATCAGTTGGCTGAAAGTCCAAAAAGAGGTGATATTGGATGTTGCGGAAGCTCACCAGATCATTCGGTCGATGTTGCAGTGGTGGAAGAAGAACACAGGGTCGAAAGCCGCCGTCTCGTTCTCCCCCATGTCACCGTTGCTCCCCATGATCTAGCCGCAAGCAGCACCCGCAGGTAAGGGAAGATCGAGAGCCAAAGAGACATGATTTCCGAGTACTTCGTGTGTAGCGAAGTGGTTGTTCCCAGAGAGCGATCGTTGATGAGGCAAGAGCAGAAAGAGGGTTTGGCTACCATGCTTCTTCCGACCAAGGCGTGGTTGTACGCCGCTAACGCTTCTCTTCGACCAGTTCATCCCCAAAACGAAGCGCAGCGGCAAAACTCTGCCAAAGGGTTAATAAACAATATTTCGGGGAAGCATTTGTCAACATAGACGGATCAACACGAGACGGTACGCCGAGCGAAAGTGACAACAATTGGCAACCGTGGAGGTCATTCACAGTCGGCATCGACAGGAGCGCTCCCAAGTGACAACTAGCCCGCCGTCCCAGAAGTTGATTGCTTTATCAGCGATGCAAGGGGAATCTACCTCAAGCCGTAGTTACCTGTGCCACGACCGCCTTCGTGTTCTTCGACAAATCGCCGTTCTTGTCGTACATCTTGGGTACCTCGGTCTTGATAGGCTGGTGGTCTTGACCACCAATGGCGAGGTGAATCTCGTCATGAGGTTGTTCCACGGACGTGTACCACTTACCCGTGCTGCAAAGGAAGACACCACCGGCAAGCCAGAGAAAAAAACGGAGGCAGCGGACGATGCGTTCGATGGCCGGTGGTTCTGCAACACGATCAAAGGAAAGAGGTATCACACCCCGGTGTAAAACATCCGGGGTACGGCAAGGCCCTTCCCGTGGAGTACGAAAATCAAGGGCGCCATCATTGAAGTACATTAGAACGGCACCTCAAGGATAAACGTTACGTTCTTTCTTTGTCTCGCGGCACAAACATAGTGCCTGCCCCTACCTGGTGTTGTTCGAGAGGATGTTGAAGTTTGGGGCCTCAAGGCAGCGCCCCAAGCGCGCGTAGGTTTCCCCGTCTGTCGTTCCGTCGCAGTCCACGGACAAATCATCCTGCTCGAATTGCCAGAGATAACGGTTGCCTTGTTATTCTGTCATCTATCCCGTGTAGCCAAGACGATCATAGACACTTCAACGAGCGCCATTTTGCCTAAACCTCACAACTACATGTCTGTGACGTACAGTGCGAGTACAGGGCAGGGGATGCTCACGCGGGGTATGGCCAAGAAAATCTGTAAACCGCGAGCGGCAATCACAGGGGCTTGTTTCGATTGAGACACTGAATACCTGAGCGTCTCCGACGAGGGCAAGCCTGATGTTCAGGTTGAGAGCTCTCAGCTGATCTTCGTAGCGAGGGTACCGCTTCCGTATGGCAGCGTTGTGGGCTTGACCGGCCGCAGCAACCTCCTCAACCTTGCTCGCATAGAACGTCGACATCGGGTACCGCACCGTGTGCGTGCCCTGCCGCGATTTCCCCGTCACCGCCAAGAACGAACATCAGAATTTCGTGAACAACGCATGTTGCCCGCTTGTTTTCAGATAAATCTCCCAGTGTTCGACCCGAATCTCTGTGTGTAATTTCAGCTCACAGCTGACATGGAAAGCAATTCAACTTGTGCGGCGTTTGTACGTCCAGGAAGGAAAACCACCAGCCACGATAATATCCATGCCTCTACAATTGGAAGGAGAACACATACCGCGCGTTTGGAGAAGTCAGCAACTGACGGTTTCGTCGGGCTCTTGAACTGTGCCGATGATTCGATATCCACGGGAAACGTGAAGCGCTGCAGCGGGTTCCGAACCACCTGAGCAACCGAGAGGGGTGCACAAATAAAACCGTTTTTCGTCCGGCCATAGCATAGGCGGAACTTGATGTCACACGTTTCGAAATTGGTGGACGACCTACTAAGTCCATAGTTACGTGGCGATTGAGGCACAACGCGCCTTGATTAGCGAGGACGGCTATATTTCTTGCTCTGGAAAGAGACGGCTTCGGCTACCCCGAAGGGGCTGGGTGCCACTGGAGGAACTGATCCAGTAGTGTCGGATATCTATGTCAAAAGAAAAAGGTGACCCCGAGAACTTTGACAGTACCTCCCCATCTAGTTTGATAAACTCGTCCGTGAGGCTCGCCGGCATGCCATAGTTGCGCGAATCCTTTGAACCTTTGTCCCAGTAGGCCATGGTCACATCCGGAACCTCCAGAATGCAGGGAACGAGTCAAAAAAGGGGGAGACATATCACAGAAACATCTGGAAACGTTTCAAAATCATGTCACTGGCCACGAGATAGCCATTTCGTGCGATATTTTGGTATTTCAAGGCATTCCATGCAAAAGCTATCCAAAATGAAAAAGGCTGAGAGTGTATGACACTCGAAAAAGTTCATTGTTATCTACAAACCGGCAGCGGTATTCGAGCCTTGGGTGGGGAAACATGAGATTCGGTTGCCCCTGATTCGATCACCCGCAGCATGAACCCACGAAACAAATGCTTCCTCCGGCACTCGCCTGGTGCAAAGGTAGGGTACCGATGAGCTACCTCACTTCGAGCTCATCACCTGAGTACGTAGGGCATTTTCTAGATGGTGCACGTACGCACGATGCCACATCGGGAAGAGTACGTTCCCGTGATGACAAAACCCTCCCCACCAGGCGAACGGCGGCGGCAGGTGGGGCTGATCCGGGTCGAAAGGAGCCAAAGGTATCCCGTGGTACCCGGCGATTGCCCAGTAGCTGTTGGGATCATCGGGGGGAAGCTGCTGGATTCCCCTCCACGCTCTTGGGTTACATGAGTCGCAGGGCAGGAGAGACGGGGAGGTTGTTTTTGGGGCGGGGGCGGGGATCACTTTTTCCTGCTTGCGTACTCAGGTCCAACCTCTCGTATCTGCCACGCAGTCCCCGACTCACAAGCGCTGGGATCTTGCGTTGGACTTCGGCCAGGCGTTGGCTGGTATCAATAACAATGTTTAGAATCATTACTCAACGAGATGTTGCTCAATGTTGTTTGGAACCGCTACTCATGATGTGTCTGACGTTCACCAGTCGGTGGCGAACTCGAAACTTCACATTTAGGTACGGGGACTTGATACCCACGAGACAATAGGGAGGAGATCACGGTTGGGACGTTCGCCCGCACCTGAATAAGTCATCCAGTGGCTTCCTGTGCCCTTGATCGGCCCAACGCTCGAGCTCGCGAAGGGAGTAACGGGTATCGCTACAGGAAACCGCGCAGAAAACGGCATGGGTCATGGTAGCGACTCAGAACAATATTTACGGTATCATCCTCGGTATATACCATATTAGTCAAAATTCATCACCCAACACACGACAGGATTTTAACGAACATTCTTGCCGTAAAAGCAACGCTGTGTGTGCACCTTCGCCACCGTTCCACTATTTCCACAACACAGACAAATTTTAATGGGTTTATTCGGTAATATTACCGCCGTCACATTACCGCCGCGGTGTAGGCGGTCCCGGTAATCCGCGGTCTTACCGCCGTTTATTTGTTTTACCGCCTCCTCCAAAGTCGTTTCCGCCGACAAACGCGATACCGCCTTCCGCCAAAACAATTACCGCCGTATGGCGTTACCGCCGAAAACATACCGCCGTTTTTTGGTTTTACCGCCTCCGCCAAAGTCGATACCGCCGAAAAACGCATTACCGCCTACCGCCAAAAAGATTACCGCCAAATGGCATTATCCCCGAAAACCTGTCCGCCTAAAAAACCGTTACCGAGTAAACCCTTGCAAATTTTGAGTTGTTCTGTACTGCTACTGCAACAGAGGGGCACATATACATCACATGATGTATTGCCGATTGTAGTGCGTCTTCAACAAATCTGAAATTCCATCATTTTTCAAGCCTTGGTGCTCCATGGCGGCGATTTAGATCTATCTACCGTCGGCTAACCGGTCGCAAACTTCGACGTTACCACCGTTGACGAGGGAAAGGGACGGCTGGACCCTTCTCGCGAAAAAAATAAAATTCAGCACGCACCGCAGGAGGAAGGTGGGGCATGAAAAGAAATGAAAAGAAGAAAAAAGCTCTGGTGTTTACCCCCTCCTGTGTGACCCTGGATGGTTGTAGTTGCACGAAAAAATACACTGAAAAGTGTAGTACTCTACATACTCTGAAAGAGTGTAGTACACGTCTCACCACGAAAAATGGGGGAACTGTCGCCATAATAGTAGGACGAAAAAGCACACGCACACATCCACACCGTCGAGCCCTCAGGGAGTTTCTCCGTCCGCCGCAATGATAGGTAAGGTTTCATGCGCCACAAGTACGCATGTCAAGATCACTGCCGGACTACTTATTGAGTTGAACGATGAACATCATGCGACTGCCAACGAGACGGGACGAGGAGGGGATGCTTGTAAGTGTGAGTGTAGAAAGGTCAGAAGTGAAAATGACGAGATTTTCTCGCGCATTATTTACGCAGGAACACACCTTTTCCACTCGGCAGGTGCTGTGGCCATCCCGGACACAGAAGTCTTGTTAGCGTAGACTGAGCAGGATGACCGATACCGCTGGCAAGCCTTGCGATCCTTCCGTGTTGCGAATATCTTCTGGCTCACACGCGCCCGGAACAACGGTGTTTCCTCTGTTCTCTCCTGATTCAGCAATCACACTACAGCAGTACATGTAGAGGAAACACACGCGCGGAAGAGCGCAACGGGAAGTCTACTCTTTGGGGATGTAGGGAACGGTTGAAGGTTTGAAGTTTGGGCACAAAGGTCTTCGTCCGCCGCTAGCGCATGGGCGAGCCCGCAACTTGCGGCCTAATGTGCGAAGAGCACCAGCCCGACAGCCCGACAGTTAGTTCGGTTCAACATGCCTTTAGTCTATTCCTCTTTCCTTGCACAACATGAAGGGGTGGCAAAACACCGAGATAGAGCCGCACCGGGGGTATCATCATGACGTGTACCGCCAGGTTTGGGTACTCTCGGCTACGTCAACTTTGGTCGCTTTCCACCGGCAGCAAGAGCTACACGACTCATGACAGCTAACCCTCACCGGCACCTCGTTGTCCCCTGCGTCACCAAAACTTGAACAGACAAAAAGAATGCCGCACGGTGCGGATGGCACGTGTGTGAATGATGCGGATGGCACGTACGTGAAATGTATCTTTTTTTTGGTCGCGCCGAACAGGCGGCACCGTCAGGCCGTGTACCGCCAGGTTGGGTTGCGTGTATACGACCAAGTTGACACAACCTTTGGTCGCTGTTCACCCGCGCCACCAACTTGGACAACGAACGCCGCGCGCGGTGGGTGGTGTTGTACGTGAAGGTAGCGCTTAAAACTCGTTAAGCGGCCACTCCGGGAAGAGTGCTTGTGTACCGCGCGGTGTGCGACGACGGGTGAAACCTTAAAATGCAATTGCATTCAGGCCAAATATTACGAGGGTGGTGAAACTGACAGCTGACAGCACCATGAGGGCGCGCCGGAACCTTCATTCGAACACACACTAACGCCATCGCGAAGAGGCAGACATCCTGCGCACAGCAACTTTTGCGAAGCTTGGTACACATGAAAATACGTGGTGTAGAAGCGATAAAAGCGCAGCTCTCGAGAGTAGACTCATGGGCAGTCCCCTCAGCGGCCCCCAAAGTTGGCGCGCTCGGCACAGATCAAGTCGGATCTGCTTCTGGCGGTGGACCACAATTACATCACTCATGATGATCATCCGAATATCGAAGTTAGCTCATTCGTTGCTGTTGCGGCGACCTTTGAATGTTGGACGACAGCCTCCCCACCTGCGAACCGTGACAGGCAGCCCTCGAAGCCGCCCTTGCGTCTCCAGCCACGCGAGTGTACTACGGTGACATTAGGGCCGGCTGGACTTCAATTGAACCGGCAGCGCTGCGATGGCTGAATCTGTACGAAAGTGGCGCGTGCCCCCCCCTGCTGCAAAATAGATCCACACGTGCCTTTTTACCTTTTTTTGAAAACGAGGACACGCAGAGGGTACACTGCTGTACGTGCGTCTCAAAGTCAGCCTTTCATCGTGTCGTCGCTAATCTAACTACCCTGTTCTTCCCAAAGACACATACTCTGTAGGGTGGCCAATGCACCCGTTCATCGCCTTGCCTGAGACAATACCATAAGGTACGACTTGTCACGATGTCACGATAGGGTACCGCATGCATTCGATCGCTGCCGCTGTCTTTTGTAACAGTCCTGTGGGAGACCTGCCGACCGACACACCGTTCCTTGTGGTCCCACCGCAATCTACAGCACTCTACGGCCGTATCAACCATCAACCCTCCACCTCACTGGTTTCATCGGCGCCGTTCGCCCAAACGTGGTACAGGGTAGGCTTTTGGTAGACATCGTCAACCTCTCATGGGAGCACGGCCTGATCTCAATGAGGGCGTCACGTTGCTGGTTTCGTGGGCGCTGAGACTGGCTCTCAAGCAACCGGCTCATCAGGGGGACGAAGTTGCGCAGCAGCTATTGTGTGTCGGAGATTCCCTGGATGTGCTTCGATCTGAAGCAGCCGCATTGCCGAGGGATGCACCAAGGGTAGGTCTCATCGTCCAGCCATATGTTTGGGCCCTGGCTCTTGCGATGGTCGACCTCGCCAATCGGCGACGCAAGGGCATATACAGGCGAGCGGACATGAATGGAGTGATAAGTAAGGTGTCAAGAGATATCACACCCCCGGACCGATAGTCGAAGCTCGATTGCTCCACAGTACAGGGAGTGGCGGTGCCGAAGAGGGCGGCGTTGGAACCGTCTCATCCAGAGCTTTCCGTTAACGTATGGTTTGGTGTGTGCATCCTCCCCGTGGTAGCTGTAGACACGGCTGTCCTATCCTTCTGTGGAAGTGGGTTCTACTATCATGAAAGAGGGAAGGACCACAGGTGGAACGACAGCCTCAGGTGATTCCAGCCGAACTATATGCTGTCACCAACCTACGACGTACTTCATAGACTATGCATGTTTACATGAATCAGTAGTCAAAACACGACAATGTTCGCGTCTACTCCCATACGGGCACAGCGACCACAAATATTTAAGCAACAATCAAATGGTATACCGCACCTGTGAAACAAAACGGCACACGAGGAACTCACAGCAGAAATGGACCCGGAGGCCCCACGCTGGTTGGCCCAGACCACCGAGTCCCGTTTTCTGGCGGCTCAAGTGGAGAGTACGGTGGTGGGGCTTCTCGAGGCGACTTACTATACCATTTCGGTCACCGCGATCACTGTCGCAAACAATGACCGGGCGCAGTGTTATCTCAACCAAGGGTTATCTCAACATCCCAGGAGTTGTGGGGAGAACCCACCTACGCCGGCAGCACCATACTAGGTTTGCGCGTTCATTGTGCAATTCTCTCTGCCGATACACCTGGTAAGTTGTACAGTCCGATAAATAGTATCATGGTAGGTTTGAAGGTTGCACGTCTATGTGCAATAATAATTAGACCAACACATAGACATATGTGTACCACGGAGCGCGTGTGTGGTTGTCCAAAAGAGGGTAGAGTTGGTCTGTGCCTGAACACAGGGCAGGGACTAGCAGATCTCGGAACACGTGTGGCGGGCGCGCGCGGCGTTGGCGGCGGCGGCGGCATGTTTTGCCCGGTTCTGCGTTGGCAGGGCGAGGTGTTGGGAACACGGATGAGGTTGGAGAAATCAAGAGGCCTCGGTGCATTGTAGTGCAATGTCGTTGGCCTTCGGCTCGTGACCTTGATTGGGTTGGATCATCTGCTGTGTTTGTATTGGAGTCCACGGTTGATGCCAGTCTGCACTTGATCGGGAGGTGCGACGGTTGCACCAGCCGAACTGTCTTTGTTCGGGAGTTTTATTGCGACAATACCCGGCGACCGGGGCGAGAGAGAACGCTGCAAGCCGACCCGAGAGGCCTGGTCGCGGTAGTCTCCACTTGAGCTGTCAGAAAATGACACTCGGTGGTCTTGGCAAACCAGGGTCAGGCATCGGGGTCTATTCCTGTTGTTAGACAGTTCTTTGTGTTTTGTTCTATCGCACTGCCTCTCTCATCCCGTGCAAATTGTTTTCATTGCGTAGATGGCTACTTTCCTACCGATCAATGTCATCACGATGCTCATGCCTTTTCTGTGGGTCATGTTTTTCGCGCCATCGAGATTCTCGAGCTCAGAATATTTAGCTATTGTGGTGAAGTGGCCAAGCACACGCGTAGCATCATTTCCTTCCATTTCAGGGCATTCTATCGACAAGACGCACTCGTTGGTCATCGATTCTACTTTCACCCATGTCTGAAGCCTACCTTGTTGCGCTTCCTGTCCTGCGTCCGTGGTTGCAAAGGTGCTTTGCCGACAAGGGATCCATCACCTCTCTAGAAACTGGCCACGTGGCGGAAGCAATCGAACACGAGGCATACTCCTTTGTGGAAATGGCTTCCGAACTCTTCGCTGCAGGCTGTACTGGAGCAGGGAAGCGGACTGGCTTCGGCTGTTCCGCGGCGCCTCTTGCGCCGCTGTTCGGGGCTTGCGAAATGTGTGAGACAACCGCCGTCAAGTGCCACCGGTTTTTTCCCACGCCCTGTCGGCCGGAGCTGTGTGTCTGTACGCATGGCTCTTCCCACCATGCCTGTATTGATCCCCGCGTCACCCCGATTTTGTTACCGGCTTTGATGGAGCGGCCGGGAGAGAATGAGGTCGGAGCTCGGGCCACTTGTGACTCCCGCGCCACACAATCGCCATCGGCTCGACGGAACCTTGCCGCTGTGGACCTCCTTCGACGTGGTGAGAGTTTTATTTCGTCGATTGGACAGGCAGGAATCCGAGACCTGTTGGGACTGAAGCGGACGGCGGGAAGCATCGATGGTTGCCTTCCCCCCTCTCGCCGCGTCCTATTGAAGGCCATCAACAAGCCACACGTGTTGGTGGTGAGCGAAGGGTGCGCAGTCACGCGTTCCTCAGAATCATGTCTTGCGACTGATGGGAGCGACAAGAGAAGCGAGGGACGCGCGATACGACCGAGGGCTACGACCGCCTGCAATTTGACGGTGGGTGGCCGCGCTCTTTGCAAGCATGCCGTGCGCGCAAGAGAGGGCTGGTGGGGAGAGTGTGGGGGTACAGAAGCAGAAAAAAATGACCGCGCCGAGGAGGTGACGTTGCGATTGCTGGCGGGGGCCACGTGGGTAAACCTTCACGTGTTCGGAGGAGGAGGGAAAGATGGCGTGCTCGAGGTACGAGAAGAGTCGGGCTATGGAGCCCGTTGGAGTGCAGACGGTGCTGTATTTCGAGGGTTCGTTGAGCCTCATATGAAGGACGGGCACGAGAAGGGCTGGAGACATTGATTTGGTTTCGCTTGCCGTGAAACGCAATCGACGTGGCTGGTGTACATCCGGTATCTGTATGTTTCTTGGAGGCGCGTTCCAGCGGACGGCGACAAATCATCTGACACAGGTGCCCAGTTTTGAGTGTACTGAAGTGCAACTGGAACATGGGCAGCATATCCTCATCGAGTATCTTGTTCCGGATGACCCCTGACCGGAGTTCTTCGATTCAAGGGGCGAGGCCATATAGTGTGCAGTCTATGCTGCGAAAACGGTATTATCGATGGAATTGCGGCAGAACATGTGATGCGTTTATTTCCCGGTCTGATGTCGTACTCTTGTGTGCTCGCCTGTCTTTGTCGTTCACGTATGCGTGTGATTGGGCAGTGACCTGCCCACATCTTGAGGTGTTGTCGGACCCGGCACAGCACAAACGTTCCGATGGCTGTGTACTACGACACGTGTCCGCTATACGCCGTTCATCGGTCTTGTTTTTGTTCGTCTAGCCTTGATTGTACCGAGGAATTGCACATGTTGTACGGGCTGATACCATGGTCAGGCAATTGGAATGAAGACAAGCGAATATATTGCTGACTGTGAATGTTGAGAGAACGACGACAATGTCAATGTCCGTACAAGGATTCGGGACGACCGAAAGCTCATGTAGACAGACAAATGCGAAGGACATCGTGAATTATTCGAGCAGTTGGCCGAATGGAATGAAGCCGAACTGCATGCTAGACATGACATAAACGTTCACCACTTAACCTTGCTGGGAGGCCTTGGCTGCAAGTGCGATGTGTGCGCATATATGGCTGAGGATTAAGCAATGTTGAAACTCTTGTCAACGTGTACGTGGGATTCGCTGAGAGCCATCGTCGATGAGCAGGATGTGCAAGCATTTGCAGTCTTGCACTCCCAAGTGGTGACGCTCCGAAAGGAATCGTCCAATCCACAGAGTGAGCCAAATATGATATAATTCTCCATGGCATGGACTGTACATGCCACACGGTCATAGGACCGCGAGTTGATTGATCAAATATTTTACTTACGTATTGCAAGCAAGCAGTTGTTTGTATCATCGAGGGGGAGCCGTGCGCAAATCGAACAGGGCGGGACGTGATCGTAAAGTTGCCACGTTTCTGTGCTATTGACAGTGATGGTTGCTTGGCAGCAGCAACAGCCAACTGTGCCCACCACAAGGAACGAGATCTTGAGCAGATTCAATCAGACCTTGTCATTTTCCGAACCGCCCAAGTATTTCCCAACTCAAGCACGAAAGAGGAATTACGTCTGTGAAGGCTGATCGGAGCTCGTCAGGTGAGGAACACAAGCGCGACGACAGAGATGAACGTGATGGAGTCAAGAACAACAACAAAGGCATGTTTGCGAAAATTGGCAAAAATGGGCACTCCGAGCACTCTATCTACGCAATAGCAAGGGGATGACAGCACCAAAACAGAAAAAGTCCCGGGACTATGCGAGCAAAGGCCACTCAACGCTGGCGACGAAAAGTGTATCGCGTTTTGGCTGAACAAGCACTCGATTTCAGTGAACCCACCCCCCGTACAGGTTCTTCGCGTCCCAGTATAACGTGCGCATTATGCAATGAACTTCCATTACAAACACACAGCAGCTTTGATAGCAGTGCCGCTTCGAGGTAGTCACAAGGTGAGCGCCAAGGCCGTGATCTACGTGACACCTGTCCACATCCATACCATACCCCCGTGCTGCCTGATGTGTCAACGTAACTCTTCTCCGGGTCAAAAGAAAAGGCAGCGGACTCGATGTGGGTGTGTTGTCGGCGCGTCCATCGTTCTTGGTTTCCAGGTGGGCGTGGTCTTGCGTTGGGCAAACGATCATATTTGCTCCTCTGAGATGAGCATTGCACGGCATGATGAGCACAGCACAACACGGAAATACGAGGAGAGCGACAACACCTGCAGCACTTTCCGTCATGGCTTGCTCGACATGGCAAAGTCCGTAGTCTCCAGCCACTGTAGAAGACGCGCGACCCCCAACGGCCAATCGGGACCCAGCATGACCTGCGGGGGCGACAAGCATCCCACAGTTCACGCAGCATTGGAAAGGCTGGACTACCGCACATCAGGGAAATGCATGCCAGTCACGATCGGGAACAGACCAAGCTACATCGGAAGCGCTACAAAGTGACCAACCAACACGCCACACCCAAACATGCACAACAAAACGGCACGAAAGCAACAATCCCACAACAAATCATACACAACAATGGCTGGGTGGGGAAGAGTACCTCGTACGTCGAACGTTCCTCAAAACGTTGTCCGCTCGGAAGAGGACAGAAAATGAGGCCGTCAACACGACCGGGCGGATAGAACCAGCTATGCACAGGGTGGCTGGCTGGCTCACACTACAAGAATCACTGACCTCATGCGGCACCGTTGGCAGCATTACGTAGTCGGTGTCGAGAAAAGTGGCCATCTCCTGAATACCTGCCTCATCCACGATGCGGTCCCGCTCTGCCCCGATCACCAACCTTCACTCCGGTGAAAAAACAAAAAACAGCACACGGATAGACGGCAAAGAAAAATCAGAGGCGCGCACGTGCTGAGGGGCAAGCAACCACGACACGGTAAACCTTTGCATTTCAATTATAACTACAACGGCAAAAGACCGTTGTGCGATTCTCATCCGGAATGCAACATTACCTGGGTGGGGCTTGGTTTACCCACGTTGCCCGCCCGTCCGCATTCGCCATTTTCATTGGCAGCTGGCCCGAAAAGTCCATGAGATCCAAGCCATTCTTGGAGTCGGCCTTGAAACTTGACATGTATCTGGTGCGGATGTTCGCGCATAGAAAACAAGGCGGGGTGTTAATGGCGAAGGGCTTCGTCTGGATCTGGGTAGGAAAAAAGGCAACAATGTGAGACAGACGCTGTTGCCACAAAGCCCCTTCCCGGGACGACACACGTGCTCACCAGTGGGTCATGCTTGGTGCATACGCATCGCCACCTGCCTCGCGACCACCCACAGGAACACTTCAACATCTCGCAAGTCACAGGTTAAGTGTGTCGGTGAGAATAATCGCATCTACATTGATTTTCATCGCACGTCGAGGGGCAAAGGGACGAGTTGCCATGTCTCATATCACCGAACGCTCAGAAGGCGGAACAGGCAACCGAAAGGTTTTAGGCACGCCCGATTTCGAGTCCACTTGGAGGAGTTGAACGATACTTGGCCCCATTTGGTGTGATACCCCAAGTCACCTCTTGAGCGTCGATTGCTCCAACGCCTGGCAGAAGAAGAGATCTCGCGCCAGCCACGGCCAGTACACCGCCATCTTCAGAACGAAGCCCAGCACGATTTTCACCGCCATCACCGGTCTCTGCAGCCAAGCCAAACGCGCGACGTGAATGGCACGCGTGTGTGGTGTAAGTAAGTACAGACAGCAGGCAGCAGAGGTCGAGCTGGAACGGTGCGTGTTTTTCTGTTGATTCTGTATCGACCGGCACATGCCTCCCGAGAGAAAAATGCGAGGCATGGCATCATGTGAAAACAGGCGAACGCGGCCAGACCGCACCCTTGATGCCAGCTCCTTATCTCCCGGAGAATTTCAACTTGCGCTCAGCTTCGCCATGCACCAGTAGCAGTGCAGACACAGAGCCTTTTGCTGTCCCGTATCAACCTCGACGGTGCCACCGCACCCAGCTACTACGGCACACCTGTTTGATGAATCGCTTTGTCATGGGGCCGTTCCCTGAGGGGGGCACCGAGCACAAGAATGCCCCTCCGGCCACAGCCGGCCGTATTCCATCGGCACCCTCCTCGTCTTTGTTTTCCTTTTGGCCCTGACCCCCTTCAGTCGCTAGCTCTTCCAAAAGCTTCAGCAGAACCACCCCGCCGAAGCTACATCAGATCATACGTATCATGGAGGCACGCCAGGAGGAGGACCGGTGGAGGGACTTGGGGTAACAAATGCGTCGCGTTTTGCATTTGGCAAGCCTTCGCGGCACCGCGCCAGAATCAGCTCGCAGGGATATGAGCAAGGCGTTCGAGCAACCAGCGGCGGAAACAGATCCGCGGGGGGTGTTGTTCGTGGCGATTCACCCCGGCAAATGCAAAGGGGGTCAACATGAATACATATATGCATCGACGGGCTAGGCTAACCTGTGAGAGACGAAAACCGGCCGGCGCCCGGGCAGGACGGTCTCCGCAAAGCTCCGAATGTCGTCAACGTGGTCAGAGATCTTCACCTTGACGCCTTCCGCGTCTGGCTGCAGAGACATGCAGACATGAAGAGGGACCGCGCGAAAAGTAAATCCTGCGTACGCTTCGGTGTGCGAACAACTAAACACAAAAAAAAGTACACGGTACTGTGCATCATTCGGCAATTTTCTGGGACTGCGCACACTATCCCCAGCTAAAGCGCACAAAGCACGAGCTGTGTTTGTCGCTGATAATCACACTGTTGTGTCTCGACATGTACATTGCGGTAATTCGCACAAGATACATTGAGCAACGGATATGACACCCCTCCTCTATAATAAAAAACTTTTACCACAGTCATCCATACGAGCTAAGATGTTGAACCCGCAGACACTCTGCCTTCTGCCTGCTTGTTGTAAGATCGCTCCATGTCACTCACGAACCCTCTGCTATCCCTTCCGCCTACTAGAAACGGTCAGCGCACCCCCGCCGCGCTAAACTTTCGCAGCACACACCGCACGACCTGTTGGCATGCCTCCTGCATGACACCAAGACAAGGGCGACCACCCTGGACGGATGGAAACCATAAGATTGAGGCACACGCCGGCGGACCAGCAACGGACCTCAGCTCCGGGGATGAGCGTCCCAGAAGTCCCTCTGAGGCTGATGGAGTATGTCTCGTAGCCCTTTGCCGCGAGAAATGGCATCCAGTGCTCTGCCCAACACCATGCCGCATGGTACGATCCGTGGATGAACACCAGCGGCGGTGGGGGCTTGCTGCAGTGGAAGGTGGGCAGTTGTTGCGATCGGCAGAACGCCACGGGCGGGAGAAAGGAGGCGACAGGTGATGCCAAGATTGGATTGAGGTATCGAGGGCGGGGAGGGGGGGGGCGTACTGTCATGTATTCATGCCTTAGAGGTTAGACCGTTGACCACGCGTCCTCGAGACGACGGAGCATTCCCACAGGACCGATCACCGATGGCCAATCGTTCCTTCCGACTTTGCCAAAAGATGCTCAAAACTGTATCGAAAGAGGGTGTGTGAGGTTTCTGCTCTTTACCACACTACACAAGGAACCCCTAATTACTCCACTTCCCGATGTGAGAGTGATCTCCCGGTCTTAGCTGCTGTGCAGGCAACAAACACATGTGCACCGAGAAAGCGACCAGCTGCCCGTGTGTAGGGATAGCAGAACGATTAAATCCCTCTCGCCAGCTTGCTGCAGCATGACAACATGGATGCAAAACCAACACATCGAATGAAGTCTGGGCATATCGGTGCACCGGTGTCATTGCGGAGGGCGATGCGTGGGTTTTGTGGCTGAGGCTTTGGGCAGAAAAGCTTTGAGCAGCAAGAGAGATGCACAAATTGTAAAAACGACGGTTCATTGATGCAATTCACGTAAAGCGAACAGCCAACGCGCGGTGGGGGCGCACGTAACTCTTCGCGAGTTCGGACAAAGAAAAACAACGTATTAGAACGGTGCTACGTAGTCGAGACGAGTGTGCACGCATGTTCAACAACGTGACACCTTGATTCCACGAATTGAAAGAAAATAAAAGATGCTCGCCGTCTTGCCCATCCTGTCCATTCGTGCTTTTACCTCCCTGCCAAAGGTGCGTCATTTGAGGAAAAAAACGCCTCCGATTCTCCCAGGGATGGTGAAATTCTAAAATGAACTTCCCTCCATTTAACGAAGCATGTAAACGCGAAAAATGAGGCGGCCGAGATTCTGCCGCACTTTTTTGTCTGCACCTTCGCTTGGGCGACCCCGTCGAAGGCTTCTGGGACAACGTCTGCATGGAAACTCCTGACGGCAGTTCGATATTTTCTTGCTTCAGTGGCCCCACCTTGACGCTGCCACATGCCATGATGCATGCAACACGAGCATGGGAGAAACAAACAGAGACAGGGAGAGAGGGAGGGACCGACGGAGAGGGAAAGAGAGAGAGACAGAAACAGAGACAGAGACAGAGACAGAGACAGACAGACACAGGTTGGTCGCAACAATCGTAGATTTAGATGTGATGGCACAAGTAATGCGTACAAAAGGGTATAATGGACATAGACTGGTGAAAACCACCTTACTTGTAGAATTTATTGACCTTTATGGATAGTAGCTCTAGGTGACCTGGCGCATCATACACAGAATATAGGACAGTCAAAAACAAATATAGTTGGCGTAGGCGCCATGGCGAGTTCCCAGATGCATGCGAAAGTACAGCATGAGAAACGAGGGAGGTTCCGCATGTACCGTCAGCAAGGCTCAGTTGGACTGGGTCAATCTAGACGTTTCGCAATGGCTGTGGCGTACTGTACCTAGGTCAAGGGCCACACCCCAACCATAACGACATCTCGAGAGCGGTCAATTCCCAGGGCTGTCGTCACATCAACCATTCAAGAAACAAATTCCCTCTTCAGTACCACCTACCCCGCTCCTCAAGAGCAAAGCAATCAATCAAGGTCCGCTGTCACAAGAACACCCAATTGCCAATTGTCACTGTATAAGGTGTTTTCGCCCGCAGCGGGAACAGACAAAGCTCGTTCTCTGTAAACAAATTGCCCCTAGACGAGGTCAGGTACGGAGGCGGTAGGCACACACAACAAGGGCAAAGCTTTATATTCCTGCCGAAACCCTACCCCGTGCATAAATGGTAAGATTGTGTCTTGAACGCCTTCGTGTTCGCAGACATTTTATTGACAGAACAAGGTTCCTGCATTTTAAGTAGTTTCACATTGTCATTGCAATGGCTCTCTCTCTTTAAGCTCGGCGTACCGTCAGCACAACGCAAGACCGCCACCCTCTCGCCGTCTCACAATACGCAGGTGAACAGGAGAGAAAAATATTTGACTCCAGGGGCAGAAACAAAAGGTGTTGGAGACCCCTATCCGCGATTCTCGCACCTCCTCAGAGCCACATCAGCGTCCTTAGCATCAGCCTTCCCCATCGTAAGTACAGAGCAGCGTCGCCGCCCCAATCCCACCACACGCGTTCCCGCTACCGCGGTGGTAACGCCACCGGCCACCCGTGTGGATGTCGAATGCACCTGTGAACCGCATCACGCACCAAGGTAAGCCCTCCCCACCCTGCGGGGAAGCCTGCAAGGCGTTCCGTTCTTGGACGAAAACCGCCACATGGCACGCGTCACACCTACGTGTCAGCATTTCAACACTAAAGGGCAACGCCAGGTAGGTGTAATACTGTTGCGGGGTCTTTCGTTGTGCCGTCACAGAAAGCACGCCTCACGGGAACCCCGTAGGTGTGAATGGCAATCAACGACGTGCGTATGATGGAGGCGACAGTTGCTGGGCTAGGGCCGCCGGCTCTAATGGGGTACAAGCGGGGAGACATCGGATTCAGCGGTGCTCGTCGAGATCTATGTACACAAAACGAATGACATATGCATCTATCGGGACGTAGTCCATCGCCGGTTGGTACCCCGTAGATCTTTCGGTGTTGCGCCCTTCCTGCCCAACTCCCTGTCAACCTGCAGAAGTGGCGTCCAACATTTAATCCTGCCAGCCTGTAAGTATACGGAGTGCATTCAGTCCCAACAGCCCTCTGGATTGACAAGCTTCGAATGAGTGTAGTGTTCATTCCGTCAGCCCGGGTAGCTTCGTAGGGGAAGGGGTGAAGGGCCTTTCGTGTGTGGGGTCGCAGCGCTTTCTGCTTTACATGTCATATACAAAGTCTATTGTAGTGTTAGTCTACAGCAACTGCGTGGTGGGCGTCAGGTGTTACTGCAGTAACTCTACCGATGGCAGCCCTCCTACCCAAAGCGAAGCATGCCATGTAACAGGCGGCACGACGACGGGGGGGGGTCGAGGGAGGTTTGTAAATGGGAAATGGACAAAAGTGGGTATACCCTCGCCATTCTCGGACAAAAGTGGGTACTCGAAAATCCGGCGCGCGCGCCCTCCATAGGCGACCCCCAAACAACTCAAAACCCCATTCTGACACCTAGGCGACACAGCCAGGGACCATACACAGCACGGGCATCGATTTTTTCCCACTTTCAGGTGCACCTTTGGCCCTAATACCGCCGAGGCGCGCAAGGCCTCACCAGAGTGCCCACTTCTGTCCGACATCGCGGTGGGTATACCCACCGGCGTCAGCTAATTTTTTCATGTACCCACTTGTGCCTATATTTGTCCAAATTGTGTACCCACATTTGTCCGCGTACGGACAGCGGAAATCGAGCGGAAATCCATGGCATCTTTCCTATCCATGGCTGCCGGACAAAAGCGCGCCGGATTTTCGAGTGCCCACTTTTGTCCGAGAATGGCGTGGGTATGTCCATTTCCCTAGATCAATCCACGTGCTCGATGTCGAGTCTGTTAACACGCTGCAGTTGCATTTGTGCTTCTGGTATACTGCTGCAGAGTAGCCCTCCCCTCGGAGTACCATGTATTATACGCAATTCAGAACAGAGGCCAGTCCTGGTCTTCTTCATTCCAACCTATAGCACATGATAAGGAACCCGATTGCCCAGGCCTTGTGTAGAGGGGGGTGCAATTAAACGCACTGCCCCGTTCTGATGCCGACGGAGTCGTCGTTCTAATGAGCAAAAACCGCCGTGCGGGATGTTTGACCTGGTTTTTGCACGACAAAGCTGCCAGTTGATGGATGTACCGCTGTATCGTACTACAGCAGTATCTAGATCAATCAGACCACTGCTTTTAGCCAACTACCCGTACAATGCAAACGAGTCAAAATCCCATCTGACCGAAGTTCGGTTACCTCAAAGACAAACTAAACGCAACTCAACAGAGGGAGCTACAGTCTGCACGCTATGACCTCCCCCCGCATGAACGACAGAGCCACAGCAGTCGGGATTTCCTTCCTCGCCTTAGAGCCAGCCCAGGTCTTGGATAACGTGGTGTGCATGATGCGGGACCCTGCCGTGTTCCCAAAATAAACCCATGCCGACGCCCGTGTCATAGCCACGTGTAACAGCGACACACAGCATAACCATGACTTAAGAAGGAGCATCCTGCTCGCCTTCCGTGTAGGCTCTATTAAACACATTACTGCTGCACCGGCACCGTGTTACGCAGCACAGTAGGCGGGGCACAGCAGACGAGATTCTCCAGTTGCACCCAACCCCTCACCCGCCTCCTTGAGACACCATGATCGTGCAAGATCTTGGCTGTTGGGATCACGTGTTCGTGTGTAACGTCGCATGATATGATACACCACATACGCCATTAGGCATATGAACCAATCAAAAAGAAACATGACGCCTGAACACCCGGCACTTACCTATCCCTCTCTCTCTCTCTCTCTCTCTCTCTCTCTCTCTCTCTCTCTCTCTCTGTTGAGCAAAATTCAAAATTTCGAGGGATGGCATGCGTCATCAGCCGTGAAATTAGATCACGAAAGGAGATATTTCGATCTGGTGTGAAGGAACATCAGTCAATATGTAGTACAACGTATCAAATGCTTGATGATGTAGATATACATGTAGATCGCGCCCGCGCGGGTAAGAAACGTCGTTTGCGCAAGGCAAGGCTCTCTGTGTTTGGTTTTGACACTTGGACCTCCACCATCTGGACTACTAGTCTAGACTACCAGCCATCTTCATCAACAAGCAGCAATCTTCCTCCTGACGTTCCAAGTTTAGACCATGCACGAGAAGGAGAGGACAACAGTAGTAGCACCACCGATTTTTGCAGCCTGGTTACCGCGGCAATCTCGCCCTTTGGATTGTTCAAAGACCCTCAACCCATGGTCTCATTGCGCGCATGGATGTAAGCTTAGTGTTCTGGAGAAAAACACTGCATTTTGTGGACTAATTGACAGGGTACTACTGACTGTGTTTACCCGACCGGGGGGGAGATACCCCCAACTTCATACATAATTCAGACTCAAATATATATATGAAACCGTTATACGGCAGGTAACGGCAAACAGTTGAAAAACGAACATATGCTCAGCTAAAGTTCCTTAACAAAAAACCTACAGGGCCGATGCTGCGATACCCCACAAAGAAAGAGACACGGGCCTCCGGCCAAAAACGTTCTTGGTGCGGACGTTCACTGCTGTACCGAACGGCATTTCCTCCCTGTGCAGAGGAGGATTGCACCTCTGACGCGACTTGGCGAACGTGTGGCCCAAACCGATGGCCTCAACATCAGTGAACAGGCTTTCGCGATCCGCAAGCAAACGTGAGATGAGAGTTGGGAGCACAGAATCAGTACACAGGTGCCGCGTTTGAGGACAAAACCGCTGCTTCTCTGGCAAAGCTAACACCCGACGCCTTCGGCACCCCGAGTCACCCTTCGCCCCTCTCCTTGCTCAGCGGACCGTGAAAATAGCAACGGGACGCTTTACTTCTCTGATCTCATATCCCCCAAGCTTTGGTTGAATATGTACTGGTCGAACCTTGCAGTCCTTTTTTCCCATGTGTTGAATGACACTTCACAAACGTCTACGCTGCAAAAAAAGGGGATGGAAGAATGTAGCATGAACACGCTGGCTATTTGTGACACTGCTGGAAGCCAGCAAATTATTCCGCCCACAACGTGCCACACACGTATCTACCACCGTTGCCTGCTTTTTCCGTACTTTAGATAGTCCCTTATACCGGACCCCTGGTCAAGACCCTGGCAACTCCTACAGCAGTAGAAGTAGTTCAATAACGACCCCTACCTCAAAGGCGCATACATACTGGGCAAAACGCTGATAGATTTCGGAGAACAGTGCAAGACCCACGCAAGGAAACCCATCCCAGAAGGCCTACAGTAGGACACTACCAACATCAAGCATCTCGCCAAGGATCACCAAAGTTATGCATGTCACTTCTTCTCATCGAAATCTACCGGAGGGAGCAACAAACAACACACCATTGCGAACAGGCTTGAAACAGGACGGGACGAAGCCCGTAAGACGTACAACATAAGCCTGAAGGAGGTTTACAATATTTCGTTTTCAGGAGCCGCAACTTTGACATGCTAAGTTGCCACCGGGCAGACAATGGTAGACAGACTCTCATGCAAACTACAGCGAAATCTAAGCCTGCAGAAGAGACAACAACAACTGGACGAGGATTTTTTGTTCGATATCACCATATTTCAGCACCGCCGCCAATAATACAGCGAATTTGTGCGTGTTTTCGCACCCCCGTGATGGCGTTTTTCTATAGCGTATTTCTCCACAACTAGGATGGTGCGAACACCAACTGATACCGCCCTCGACGAGATGCTTCCAAAACCACCCGTTTCGGAGGTAACACCTCCCTGGTTGTGGACAAATACGGTGTAGAAAAACATCAACACGGGGGTGCAACAACACGCACACTTACGGTAGTCGACAGTCGACAGGTGTTTGGGCGTCAAAAAAGTGCCGCTCAACACCACAACAGCACCAGCAACAGCACCAGCACAACTGAACGCTTGACGCGTCCGACACTCAGCACACAATACATTGCAAAAGTAACACCCGTATTTTGCGGCCAATTCACAAAGGTGTGGGGAGTGGATGGAATCCCGGTGCGCTCGTAAAAGAAAAGAGGACCAACGGATTTACATATTGAAGGCACCGCTATCCCCCCCCCCACCCCCTCCCCCCGATAACTTTTTCCGCGCTTCAGTCCAGTTTGGTCAAGAGGCCCGTTGAATAGGATTTAACGCGGTTACAGCAAAAACGACGTATTTCATAAGTACTGTATTGGCCTTGGTACCAGTATTTAAACCATATTAAATCCTTCCAGGTATGCAATAACCATTATGTGGGCTTTACATGGAAAACCACACCAAATTCCATACGATGGACCCCCGCCCCATTTGGTCCTCAATGCAGCTTGGCGTTGTGCTTCCCCAAAAATAAATCCGTGGGCCCTCTTGACCTCCTACGCTACGCGACGAACCGGTTCGCTCACTTTCTCCTAGTCGCCTTCCACAAGCGACGCCGCGAATCGGGGGAGAATCACGAGCAATAATCGGTGCAGCATCACAAGACACCAAAGTAGTCCCCTAAACTTCATGGTCGAAATCCGAACTCGGCGACCCCAAACCTTCGCCAGCAAGCGGATTCCATTGGGGACCATCAGCGGCACTCGCGTCTCCCTCGGTGTTGGACCTTGGTTCGCTATTTGCTGGTGAAGGGTCGGCTGCTGCCGCCATTTTTCGCGCATTTCTGTCGCCGCCGCTGGTGCCCCTACCGGAAGCTTTCTTCGCCTCGGCCATACGGCTCGCCGCCTTGACGAACTCTTCTTCGAACAGCTCGTCCGGCCGTGCGTTCCCGCCCACCATCGCCTCCTGCGAGACAAGAAACGCCAGTTAAGGGTTGGGTTTCTACTGCGGTTGCATGGTTGCGTTCACGGGTGGGAGACCTGCTTTCAGTTGGCCTGCACTACGAACAAGATGCGGCTAGAATCAGAGGCTTGATTGACGACGCAGCACGTGTCACCGAGTTTACCACACCCGTCGTGCTGGGTGGTGTCAGTTTTGTGCCCAAGTGTCCACAAGATCCTGTTGAGTACTTGCTACCTGGCACACATCTCCCCCCTTTATCCCATTCCCTCGCGGATATTCCATTTTCCCATTCCTGGGTCCCTCCACGCACGTGTACCTTGTTGCGTTTCACAAGTCCATCGCAATCAATGTCGTCTCTCGCGCAGGCCTCCGCTTCGGCGTATAAACTCTTGATGTGTAAAACACAAGGACCATTAGGATGCAGAGAAGCTCCTTCTCAAGGTTTCCCATAATTCCAAATTTTCCCCAAGCACCTCCTCCTGCCTGCACCCCTCTGCCGTACGTACGTACGTACGTATAGGGATCTCGTACCTGTTTATTTCTGTCGTCTATGGCCCAGTCCCTGAAGCTTTGCCCCGTCAGCCGCGCGAACATCTTCATATCCGACGCAACAAAATTTCGGATCTAACAGACAGATAGAACATACAACAAACGGGCGAAAAATGGAAACATACAAAAAAATTGCTGACATCCAGCACGTCAGATGTGGCACGAAATGCCGTTTTCCGTGACAATCGACGAAATTTGTCTACGAATAGGGGACAGCAGTCGAACGCTACGCTCTTGTTTCAACGTCGTGAGGTCGGTTCTGCCTCTAGCGTTCAGATCAAGACAGTTTGCCAACGCCCTTGTACCAATCTGAGGAGTGTCCGACCTGTCTCTCAGTGCTGCAACTGTATGTTGAGGCATGACATCCACCCGCACGGGAGCATCGTGCACTGCATCGAAGGTGTACACCGTGCCGTAAAATGTTCCCGTCAAAACGGGCCTCCCTCCTCAGCGTTGGTTTTGTCGAATCTCGTAAGTTACATCCCGATGCACCTCGAGAAAAGAAACTTTACTACAGACCACACAACGGCCTTCTCCCTCCACAAACGTAAACACGCCTCGCGCTCTCGGGTTCTCAATAAAATACGCCTTTTTCGAGCGTTACCAGCGCGAGCAAATCATCCTCTGCCGGCTTGTTCACCATCCGTATCATCAAGCAATCGAAACAATTTGCCAGGCATTTCTTGGAAACCCGCACCCTTCAACCTACCAGCGCTGAGACAACGTTCATCGAGGGTGCGGTAAAGGGGGGGAACGCCGAACGCCTGTTGAGTGTATCGGCGGGGTCTATATGTGGGCACACGGGCACACCCGCGGAATTTAGTCCACGGGAGCTCTGGGGGTGCTGGATTTGGCACCGACGCGCAGAAATCGCTACTCTGTAGGGTCTATACAACTTTCTACCATTGTAGGCGGCAAGACACGAACGGGCCTCGCTCGCAGGGTATGTTTGGCAGCAGAGAGTAGTGAAAGATTGTGTCTGCATACCTCACCGCCTTGTCTGCGGGCCACAGAACACCCAAGATATGTGGTACACACCATGCCCCGTCTCTTCGACGACGTACAAAATCAGCACACGGGCATCCCACAACAATGTCTACGGCAGCAGAACGCCGAAGATACGTGGTACGTGCCACGGCCCTTCTCTTGACGACACACTAACATCATCACACCGCGGAACCTCCCGAAGACACGCCTCCGGTCGGTCACACGTCTCACCTCCGTAGCCAGGGCTTCCGGGATCTCCTCCTTGTACGCGCTGTCAAGCCTCCAGCCTGTTCGCTTCTCGAAGTCGGGGTACTTCTTCTCAAGCTCCGCCATGATGGCATCTTGCCCCAGAGAGGGGTACTGGAAGTCCGGGACTCCTGGGTAGAACCCAGGTCCACGACAAGACGCACACAAACGCCCAAGACAAGGGAGTCAAGGAACGGCTAACTCTAACCAAACCGGTGGAAAAAATGCCGTCTCAAGTCGACCAGGGGCAAACGACTACGAATTCCAAATGACACGGGCAACGGCCCACAGTATTGATGGTGTTGGTCACATTGCGAGAGCCCCGCTGATGACGATTGCCGCAATGCTAGTCCTTGTGACGCACTATTCTACAACCCCCTCTCACATTTTTTTTTTTTTGCCTTTAGAAGGCAGTTACAAAGTGCTTACAACTGTCTATGGAAGTGAAAGCACCAGAAAGTAAACTAAGTCCTACGCAGCTGTCATCCGTACGCAAGGAAGTACGCACAAGATGCCGAACACCCTAAGAAGGATGCAGCGCACCCTTCATGCGACTCGCCGAATACCTCACGGCGCTTCGCGCTTGGTGATGTGAGAGCCTGGTCCGGTGAGAAGATCGGGGCGTGCTCCGTCCCGGCTTTGCAGGGATGCGAGGTCAATGGTCTAACGATTACGGCATACACGACTACGAGTGCCGTCCCCCCATACACACACACACAACCGTGCGACACGTGAGGACAGCGTCGCAGTACACGACGACCACAAGAACGCCAGCAGATGCATCTCCCGCACACGAAAGCTTGGAGCAAACCACGCAGACACGAAAGCGTGAGCCACCCACATGACACCCACGAAGCGCAGCGCACAACGCCAAAATCCTAGCCCTAAACGCGTCACGTGGAGACTAAAGCACGTCTCTTGCACATTTTTTCCCGTCCTTCCAAGTATTTTTTCCGTGCTTTCAGACACCGGCTGTAGAAATCCGCGTCCAAACCAACGGCGACACGCGACACCAACAAAAACCAATTTGTTCCCTGCAGCTTGCGGCGCAAGCATGGGGCAAGGGACAACAGCCCTCGAAGGGAAGAATCTGCCCGATGGCCACAAAATCATTCAGTGTGTTGAGTGCAGGCGATAGGCGATAGACCATGTGAATGGAGGAGCGCCTGCCTCAGTCTCTCGTCTATCCCTCACCGATGTGTTCGTGTACCCTCGGCAGAACCTCCTCGGGCTTGTCTCGAAGATCATCGCTCTCGATGAACATCACCTGCACACGGCAGAAAACACGCACGCAACAACTGATGGGCGTGTACTACGCAACTAGTGAAACCGCAGCATAAACAAGCCAATCAAAGCTCTACCATCGGCGACGACCGCGTGTAGAGCGAAACATAAATGTGTGACCGATTAAGGCGGTGGCTAGGTCCAGAAATTGGAATGGAAATGAACGAAGACGCATCATCGAGTCTTGATTCTGGATTTGAAGTCAGAAAAGCCGTCGGGGACCAAAAACAAACTGATTACGGTGCTTGCTTCTTGTGGGGTTGGCTGAAAAAGACAGGTATTGTCGCCAAGAAGCACGACACACCCAGAGCATCACCTATGGGATCAAAAATAAAAAATGGACCAGAAGCTTTCGGTCTTGGTTTCTTGCGGCTGCATTTCGACCGTACGAGCGCAACGCAGCTTGCCGCTGTCAGTATCCGCCACCTATGACGTAAACCACCACCAAGAGGATCATGCAATTTGTGTGGTACAGCAGTGTTGGAAAGCCGGTTCAGTGTGAAAAGGATTTTAGTATGGTATACATAACCCTATACACGTCTTACTGTAGTGGTTTACAATGTGAAACCATAACTACATAGGCCACACTTCAGGATAAAAAATACCACACTCAACCCTAGACAATAGATCCCTTGGCCAAAAGTGTGCTTAAAAAAAGAAACATATGGGCGAGGGGGCGGAGCAGGGCGTCAGAAATCCCGTTACACGGGCCCCCTTCCTGTCGATCCAAAACATTCGTTCGAGCGAGGTTGAAATGGGCGTCTCCGACAACGAGCACTCCCATCCGCGGGGACGCCCCTTACCTGATTTCGCGGTATGTACTTCAAACAGTGGTACGCCTGGATCCCGTACAAACTCCTATAGATGTACTGGTCCGAAATGCCCGGCGTCACGTCGAAGCACCTACGGAGGGACGGAAGGAGCGGGGCAACGCGGACCGGACATCGGTGGCACGACGTCTTAGCAGTGGTCTACGCAGAAAAGTTGACTAAGCAAACATAAGGGATGAAGTATTCAATCTGTGCTTTAGGGTTAGGGGTAGGGGTAGGGGTAAGGGTAGGGATAGGGTCTGCGTGCCCTCTCCCTAATATTTTTTCTAGATACTCTTGAAATCCTGCGTAGGCGGTCCCGTCTTCGGCTACGGCAAGACACACGCTAGTGGGCAGACAGCGCACGGATCGATACTCGAAAGGACGCTACATAGGGCACGCCAGCAATGTCTACCGCGGCCCCGCGTTGGGAGGTTGCTTCCACCCGCGCGGAATGGACTTGCGGAAGCAAATAAACCGAGCATCAGCACCGACATGCCCGTGCTGGGTCAATGGAAAACTAATACCTACATTTTGAACAGACGTCAATCGAATGACACACACCGCAGGTGTGCTTTCGTCAAACCTATCCTGTTCTGGGTGCCGGTGGACACATATTGTCAAGGCACCCCTACCAGATAGCACATCTACTCTAGTCTGGGCGCTAGTTGCACCTCTTCTATCGGAATGTGCTTCACGTGTTTGTTTTCGTCCCACCTACCGCCAGTCTCCCCTTTTTTCGGTGTATGCTTGCGGAGATGGAACCCCCCCCTCGAATTTACCATGTCTCACTTGGATAATTCACTGTCTAACGCCTCCGCCGCAGCAGCTGGGTCTGCCTCATCGAGGCCGCTTAGCCCCCCGAGATCGCTCAACGCCTTGTTGAAGCAGTGCTTGAGCTTCCTTATCTCCGCCTTCATCACGGTCTCGACCTTTGGTCGTATACATGGAACGAGTGCGGCGCGCGCGCGCGCACACACAACACACACGCACGCGCACACACGCAAACGCACAACACGGGCGAGAAAATGACGCAGATGAATAGAGGATCAAGTACAGAGCGTAACTGCTGTGGTCTGTGCGGATAAAAAAAAAAACGTAGGAGGCACAACGAAGAGAGAGGGAGGGTTGGAGAAGGGGGGTTCGCGCTTGGGCTTGCTGAAGCTTGCCTACATAGGGTTGCTATTGCCGGCGACGACGCTCCCCCCTTGTGGCGGCCCGTCTATCGCACACAACAGCGACGTTTCGAGAGCTTGTCTGACATGACTTCCGAATTTCACCGCAGTGCGTTTATCACTTCCCGTCCGTTCCCCCCCGACTCAATTACCACTTGCTACGTGAGCAAGCGCGGGAGGACCAGCATGCGCCCCTGAACTAAACAGCTCGACCGATCACGAGGTCAACACTCCACAACCTTCTTGCCATGAGTCATGGGGCACAACAAGCTGTGAAAAAAATACAACAAGAAGCAAGAGCATGCCGTACGCTAGCAAGACGATACATACAGAGAATCAAGAGCCCCACAAGCCCGCAAATTTCCTTCGGAGCACGACCTGGGGGGACCACCCGTGTTCGGAGAGCTACCCAACGAGAGGCTCAAATCATCGCACCAACAACGAGGTAAACCAACACCAACAACGGGTGTACTGGCGGACCGAAAGACAGTCAGGCAGACAATACCAACTCACAGCCACAACCCTCTCCATGCGCTGGTAGCAGGTCACATCGAAGGTCCTCTCGCCGGCCTCCCCCCAAGAACCCCACACTTCGGGCCACGGCACGTCGGGCAGTACCCCGTGCTTGGGCGATAACCGTCTTCCCCAGTGCTCCACCGCCGCCGCATCGCTGTCCCACACCCCTCGCTCCTCAAAATACGCCCCTACCTCCCCCTCCTCTTCTGTCAGCGCGTCCGCTCCGTACACGTCATCTCCACCTCGTCTTCGCTCCTCGGCGTGGTCCCCGACCAAGCCGTCCTCCGCTGCTGCCCAGCCTTCACCCCCCCACCCCAAGTCTGCCGGGCCGTACAAACCGAAGTATTCACCATCGGCAGCGGCGGCGGCAGAAAGTCCCGAGGTGGAGTTCCAGTAGAACTCCGTGACGCCGTCGTGGTCTTGAGCAAAGAGGTCATCCGCCGTCCACCCTCGCTCCTCGTAGTACTGGTGTAGGCCTCGATGCTGCAACCCTACGGGCGCAGTGGAGGTGGTTGTACTCAAGTGAACGCATGTCATGTGACCATTGACCTCGCATGCTTTCGATGCCGGGACGGAGCGGCATGCCGGGTTTTCGCCGGCGTAGGCTACTTTCACAAGGGAGGATGAACCAGAAGCTGGCCATCACCCTTACATTTGCTATACCAAGCCAGATATGCCATGGGTTGCAATGGGGGGGTTACAACGGAGTGGCCTCTGGAGTGGGTCGCTTGCTTGAAAATCTTCGAACACGGTCCACAGTGCAGGGTGTGGCATCTGCACTGGAAGCGGGGCACTCTGATCCGTTCTCTTCGAAATATCCACCCACTCTGGGCTGCCAACGCACCGCTGCGCTCTTGGAGTATTTGGCATCCGCGGTGTGACCAACTGCAAGGGCTCGTTCTACCTATTGGTCGACACCTTCCCGTGTTCTTACGAATCTCGTCCTAGTGTCAGGTTTGCTCCGCGCTCTCGCAGAAATATCGGGGGGGGGGG